ATATACATATTATATATTATTTTATTTATGTCATAATTCATAAAAAATAGCATTATATAAAATTTGATACATTTAACATGATTAATAACAACATAAATTAAAATTTTTTTTGTTTTTAACCATAAAACAACGAGATTTATAATAAATTTTATAAATAAACCAATAACACAAACTTTCTTCTTCAAGAAGAAAAATATTTAAAAGAACTTTTATGTACTTTATCTGATATAAATAATTGATTATATTTTCCATAATATAATCTCAAAATCCAGTTTAAGCCTGTTGATCTTAGGAGATTGATTTAGTTACTCTACGTTCATGAATAGAAATTGTTCCTTGACCCAGCCTCCTTCGATATATCATCCAACGTATAAGTCTAATTTTACGCTCTCCGATGGAAAAACGTAATAAACAATTTCATCGATCATCCATGTTAATCAATGACTAGAATAACTCAAATGAACACGAATCTCATTAACGCAAACCTTTACGAAGTATTTCTATCATTTGTTTGTTTGATTTTATTTAATAAATCATTTTAATATAACAGATGATTAATCATCTTGTTTGCTTTTAATCACGAAAGAGAAAAAAAAAGATAGAAATACACGTTTGTAACTTTAATTTTTTAAACAAATCATCATATTTGATCCAATATGTGTGTATGTGGAGGCGGAGGGGGCGTGAAAGGTTAGGGTGTACAGATATTAGGTTTTCTACTTTCAATGATTCTTTGGTATATTTGTACAACATAAATCGTTAGATAACAGATATTGAATCTATTCTCGATTGATGCGTCTCATTTAAAAAGTAACAGAGAAAACCAATATTCACTTCTATATCCGTCCACACGATTTCACACAAGTCGATATTTATCGATGATAGAAGAATGGAAAAATATACATGTAGATGAAAATATATATTTCAGAGAAAAACGTTCAAGGATATCAGATTTTTAACTTTCATACACTTTTTTCTACCGCGAGAGTGAACACGTCACACTCTGTACGAAAAGAAATAAATAAAATAAAATAAAAATAAAAAATAAAAAATAAAAATGTAGCTCATAGCATTTCAAAAGAATTTCACACGACAATAAACACATTAAAAGCTTTACTGGAGTTTTCTACACAAACGTTCATATTAAATACTTTATTTAAATATTTCAATTAAAAGAAGTAAAGGAAAAATGAGTGTGTTTGTTGTAAACAAATGAAAATTTTATTCTACTTGTATGTATTTCTTTCAATTCAAAGTATAATTCAACGTTGTTTGTAAATTATTAAATATTTCATAAAAGAATTGAGAAATATATAACAAGTATATTGTTTGTTATTAATAAATAGAATTTTTCTTATAAGAGTGAATAGCTTTTAGAGAATTATTTTAAAATATAGTCTTCTCTTATTTTTTTCTTTTTTTTGTCTTTCGAAAATGTTCTGTTTTACGACGAAAACGACGATGGCGAACAGTCTAACCCGTTTTTACATTATCTATCACGTTTATACTCGAAAGAGAAAAGAATAAGGGAAGGAACATCTTTTACAGTATTTTTAAAAGCGTATCATACATTATATATAATGACAGAAAATTTTACTCGTCTATTCAAGAAATACAAGGAACTTTCATTGTTTCAAAGTGCTGATCGTAAAAATACGAAGAAACTGTCCTTAAAACTCGACTAAAACTTATTTTCAGATAAATCGAACATCTTTTTCCTCGCTATTATTAAAATAATAATAATTTCTTCTTTTAATTTTTTTCTTCTCTTCTATTGTCAGAAATAAAACGTATCATTGAGAAAAATACAAGGAACATTCATTAACAAAAAGTGATATTCGTAAAAAACGAAGAAACTGTGCTAAGACTCAAATAAAAATTAATTTCAGATAAATCGAACGTCTTTCCTCACAATTTATTATAATAATAATAATTTCTTTCTATAATTCTTTTTCACACAGAAATAAAACGTTTTCTTCGAGAAATGCAAGGAACATTCATCGATAAAAAGTGATATTCGTAAAAAGAACGAAGAAACTATCCTGAGACTCGAGTAAAAATTAGTTTCAGATAAATCGAACGTCTTTTCTCTCGCAATTATTATTATAATAATAATAATAATAATTTCTTCTTTTAACTTTTTTCTTATATTTCTTTTTTATAAGAGATAAAACGTGTCCTCGAGTAATGCAAGAAACATTGCATTTTCACATTGTTAAATGTGATGACTATAAAAAATGGAGAGAAACTGTCCTGAAACTCAAATAAAAATTACTTTCAGATAAATCGAATCTCATTCATCGCAATTATTATAACAATAACAATTATTTCTTTTGTAATCATTTTATTCAATAAAAATAAACGAAAATGAAGAAATACTTGAAGGAGAAACTATAAAGATTATTAATCTATTTGGCCGCAGACATTACGATCAGAAATAATGTTCTCCTCGAATTGGATAATAACGATAAAACGTTGAACGTCTTTAAGGGTTTTATTTTATCCAAGGGTACAAATGGAAGAGGTAGGCTAGTCGAAATAGGACACGTAAGAGTAAGTACTCGTATTTAAGTACACATATATGTACAATAAGAAAAAATAAGAATTATTAAATTAAAAAATATCATATTGAAATACAACGCGAGATAAATTTTATAGAATAATTTTATATAATTATATCTAATTCTCAAATATATATAGATATAATTTCATCTAAAAATTCTCGAGAGAAGAAACTAGAAATCTCGGTATATTTATGTGTGTTGGCCCCTTTTATTTTTATTTATATATTCCGAATAATCCGAAGGGTTTATCATGTATGCAGGTATATAGTACAAAAACGGGGAAAAGGAAATAAATAAATAAAAGAAGGGTCAATGCACGAATTCAATAGAATTGTCGAAAAGTTTAAAAAGATATTTTTCGATCGTGTTTTTGTGGATCAACATATTTTTATTGTTTGTTGTACGATATGAGTAATAATATGCATATTAATATATATGTATCTATTTATTTATAGATGGTATATAGATAAGAATAATTTTGCAATTTAATTATTATTATTTATTTTTAAAATGTCTATAATCTGTCAGAGAAAGGATTTACAGGTAGTAGCGAGATCGGCCAACTTTTTTTATTTCGTTGTATCAATTTCGCCTACATCGAGGAACAAAGTTCGAGTCTTTTGTTTTCTCCAGATTTCTCTATTTTTTTGTGTTTTTTTTTTTTTTCTTATTTTTTTTCTTTTCATATCGAAGATGTCATATGACGAATATATTTATTTATTATATATATTTATAAATTAATATAATCGTTTACACGATCTTTTTAATAGCAANCAATAATTTCTTTCTTTTTTAGAATTGAATATTTTAAAAATCTCATTTCTCTACGTGCGTTTATTATTTATATATTTTTTTTTTGTAAATCAAATTTTTAATCCGCTACACCCAAAAAATAATAAAGATATCCTACATTATTATTTAAGCAGACGAAAAATATGTAGGCGCATTTATTGAAATTTTACTAACGCATCATTTTCTAATATTATTTTATATTTGTATTTTTTCGTCCCAAAATAATAAGAAACCAATATTAAAAGTAACTCAAATATTCTTCGATATAATACATGGTCTTGTGTATTTCAATTGAAAAAATTATTCTATGCGTGTATATATTAAATTTAACAATCTACCATCGTCCCGGTTCTATTAATTAATATTTTTATTCTTCCATTCTTTGTCTCGAAATAAAAAAAAAAAAAAAAATAGAAAACACGTAGTTTCTCGTAAACGAAATTTGTCTACCCTCTTTCCCAATTCCATTTACACCCCACATAATAAAAAAAAAAAGAAATGGAATCTCCTTTATCTTACTCCCCTTCCATTCGCCTTTTCTTTCAATCACGCGATTGAATAGAATAATTATCATCGTGCCGAAGTAAATGACCAAAGGGCAAAGTTAACTAATATCTTTTATCCTTTTTTTCGTTTTAGGACAGTTTCTCAATCATTAATCGAATCTCTCATTGTACCAATCAGTAAAACGTAAGTAAAAGAATCCTATTGGATTGCATCGACGCGCTGCATCTCTCCTAATAGAATAAAAATAAAAATTCTCCATGCAACGATCGTAAATTCGTTGCCCGATAAAATCAATAGAGAACATTCATGACTCTACAAATTTATTTTATTTATTTTGATTTTCACGAAAAAAGAAAAACATTATTACCACCTACGTATGTATTTATGTATGCGCGTGTATATAAGTATGTATGTGTATGTATGTGTTTTAATCTGTATATATTTTAAATGCATTTTCTTATATCATTATTTTTCAAAGATTCCAAAGAGAGTAAACAACGAATATTGATAAGAAATGACATCATATCTACTCTCTTCATCGTCGAGCTTTAATCGTATTTTAAGTACTATTATTATTATTATTATTATTATATATATATATTCTTTGTAATTTTTATGTATTTATTTCTCTTTTTTTTTTTTTTATTTTTTTTGGTTTTTCTTTTCTTTTCTTTTCTTTTTTGTTATTATATTTAATCTCTTGTACTCTCTGGTAATTACTGTGTATGTACTTAGGACAAAATAATCTCTACCGGTAGTTCCGTAAGATCTTCTCGGCAAGAATCCATCCATCTTGGAGTTCATCAATCAGTAACTATATCCGTCCCAGGAGTGTGCATACTTCCTATTCTGTACAGCCTGGAAAGTTCTTCTCTCCTTCAATGAACGATCGTCGATGATGAAGAAATTTATGGAGGAACTCTTCGCAAGAGGAGAAGAAAAAGAAGAAGAGGAAGTAAAAGTAGAAGAAGAAGATGTAGAAGTAGAGGAATAAGAATAAGATGAAAGAATAAGAATCGATATTATCATGTCGTCCGATCGAGGTTGAACGTCCCGGAGATTGGCTGGCACGACGTCATCGTTCTTTTGAAACGTAATATCAGCATTCCATCCTTCCTTCTTTCTTTTCTTTCTTTCTTTCTTTCTTTATTTATTTATTTATTTCCTCATCCTAATAGAGTGAAGTTGAAAATTCGATCGAGTACTGCGTACCCTGCGAGCATCATAAATTAATCGCGATTTATTTATTCGCGTATGAAAACAAATTCGTTGTAATGATTCCAACGTGTCTCCTCAAAATCGACCCCTGCTTTGTACAATTCAAAATTACCGCCAGCCGTGCTAGAACCGCAGCTACCAGCTAACTTAAAGCCTTGCTCTTGAAGCATGTCAAAGGCCTGTTCGATAAAATTATGCTTCAAGAAAAATCTTGAAGTATAACGATCGGACAAACCGTGATTAGGATCACGACTTTCATTCAAGGTCTCCCCGAAGACGTCTCTGCAAAGTGCCACGCGACCGCACACGAGGATCCTTGATATTTTACGAAAGTTAACTTCAGTTAGACCTTCCCGACCAAATGCAAAACTTCCTCGATAGCCAATAGTTATGCATCCAGGTGTTCGTTTCCTCCAGGTCGATGATCCTCCGACGTCTTCGCTCTTTTCATCGATGATCCGTACCAAATCATTTAGACCATAATAAACCGCTTCCTTTTTCAATCTCTCGCATTCTTTCAATCCTTCCGGTAATATGACACTCTTATCGCGAAGATAATCGAGGATATAACGGAATAGATTACCGTCGCGATCGAGAAAATATTTTCCAGATGAATCCTTTTGAATAGGAAAATTCTCGGTAAATAGTAAACCCAAATGGCAAGTACTATCTTTTGTTAGGGTCTCCAGGGTGGTCGTATAACTGACACCACCCACGTTAAGATCCACTATCTTCTGTGTCTCCTCCTGTTGATCCACCATGCTCTCCACGTTAAACTCGACTAAGTATTGTAACACGCGCTCAGACTGGACTACTACTTCTCCTCGTCGTCGTCGTCGTCGTCGTAATTTAACAAAATCAAAATGAGAGATGATAATAATAATATTTCAGATCAGATCACTGATTATTATAAATAACACGGATCGAAGAATTGAGATTTAGAGAAATGAATTTTAAAATATCTTCTTTTCTTTGATCTTTCTCTCTCTCTCTCTCTCTCTTTCTCTCTTTTTTATTCTCTTTATCTTTTTCTCATTCGCACTATCTTTCGAAATAATTAGACAATATATAATCGGTCGATTTTCTGGAAGAAATTTATTCCTCGAAGTTGACCCGAGCAAAGTGGAAAGAGGACTGTGCTTAAAATCCTCGGAAGGAAACTCGAGTAACCTCGCACGGACACTTTGCGCGCGCGACAGGACTCACAAATAGCACGTATGTATCTTGTGCACGATATCCAACGACGAATGGACGACGACGCTGGCGCTATGAACGTTTTACCAAGGGCGCAGACACCAAAGACGAAGAGGTGGTGGAACGCGCGCACATATCCGCTCTTCGTTATTCGATCATCACATAACCACGCGTTGTATTTTTTTTTATTTTCTTTCATGAAGAAGAAAACCAAAATCATAATTAAAAAGAAACAATTAAAAAAGTTCCATGTATTGTATTTCAAAAGAAAAAAGAAATAAGAACCCGATCTTTTATGTTTACTTAAAAAACGAGATATCTTTTGACACGATTGAAAGTCATTCCGTGTAAGTTAAAGTAAGAGATCCAATTTGAATAATTTATAATTAAGCTTGAGAATATAGTTTCGTACGAAAACCTTTTCGCAAACTCACGTAACATCTCGTTAGTAATTCCGCAAGTATTCGTGATACTGTGATAATTTCGTGATGAAAGTAATAATTTCACTTTTTATACCACCCTGTTATACTCGGTTTATCGTTAACTTATCGCGCGTTCGTGTAATTGCCTACTAGCTTTCTTAATCGGAAATAAAAATGAAGATATTTTTTAATTTACAAAAGTATACTTTTAAAAAAAGCACGCGCACGCACATACAAGAACTAATATATACACGGAATAATTCTTATTTTTATCCAATAGGCGTCAAACTTTTATTCATTATAATCCAATTGGTATTAAATACACCTCAATTTTCATAATTAAATACATTAATATATCGAAAACGTGTCAATAAACTACAATTACGCTACGAAAATTTCAAATGAAACGCGCTAAATAGTATCATGCATCATATTGGCGAGTACAGCCGACGCCGTACGAAGATCGGCGAACGGGATGCAAGAGGGGGTCACGTGACTGATATGCCTACAGTAACGATCGCAGGAGAGCGCCACGATCAGTTGAGCTTGCAGCGAGCATTTGGAAGTATTGCACTTGTTTGTATTGTGTTGTATTGTTGAAGTAGAAACTGTCATTAACCTCAAACATATATTACACTGATTTAAAAAGAAGGGGTAAAAACTAATCATTATTAGAAAATTAAGTGAACAAAGAAAAGAAGAGAACCGAGATACTAGGTTATCACCCAACGATTATGTACCGTATCATTACGCAAAACGACGACGCATGCGAGCCGCTTACACTTTCATCGTCCACCGATGAATTGGACGCTAACTCAGCTGGTTGAAATAATAACGTCAACCACATTACATTACAACACGTAGTGCACATTTAACTCTTATTTATACCATCAGTACTAAAACAGCAATATCTATTTCAATAAATTATTTGCAAGAATTTATTATAATTATAAAGTGACGATTATTAACTAATGGAGGAAAATATGACAGAACAACAGAAAAGGATTCAAGAGGATGACTCTAACAATGCTATTGGTAATAGTATTCTTAGAAATCATTCTTGGAGTCAAGCGTTCGATAGCGAAGAAGGGGACGATGGAAATGAAAATGGACCACTTCGCGCTAGCTCAAGGTCAATATTTTATTTTATATTATTTCAAATTGATTAACAATTAAATGAATATGTTTGTGTATATTCTTGGATATAATAATATTTTATATTTGTATAAATTATATATGTATATATTATTTATCTTTATTTTTCTATTATTTTTTTCTTATTCTTATCATTAATATGTTAGTTGGTTGATTTCTTTTAAAAGCAATAAATATAGATCGATCTTTAATTTGATATCGATAGTTTATCGCAAATATATGTGTTATTTTTATATTTTTTTTGTTTCTTTTTCATTATCACATGCATATCTCTCTCTCTCTTTCTCTCTCTCTCTCTCTCCCTCTTTTTCTTACCCGCCCACCTACTCATTCATTCGCTGTTCTCATTTGAAAGCAAACAAGTAAGCGAGATACGTCGACCTTTGATTCGATTTCGATCCTTTGTCACAAATAATAAAGCAGCGCACTCTTGTTCGAAATATCGCACAAGTTTTCCGAAACATACACACCAAATCGATAAATCGTTCTTCGATCAGTTCGCGTTGAATCGTTGCCGAGAATCGAGATATACCTATATCTTTCTTTCTCTCTGGCTTTTATTTATCGTGCATATATATATATATATATATATACATATCTCTCTCTCTCTCTCTCTCTTTATGTAGTTCTGTCTTTCTAGTTCTCGTTCTATACAGCTTTTTCTCTCCCCCACACTTATTTCTTAATGCATTTCGATTTTAAAACAGTCTCGCTCGTTTTCTTCGCGAGTATAGTCTTATGTAAAAAAAAAAAGAATTAGGCTAAACAATAAAACGAATAATAATAATAATTAAGATACAAAAATTTCTTTTTTTGTTCGAACTAAAGTATTTTTCAAATGTAGACAATTCATTGAATCGATGAAAGTGTGAAGAAAGTTGCACGTGCATAATCATGAAGGTGTGTTATTGGTAAGTTAATTTTCTTTTTCCCTATCCCAATCATTGATAATTGATAATTGTTTTATATTTATTTTTCCTCGTTATAATAAATTGTGAACGTCTTTTTTCTATTTTTCTTTATTCTTTTTTTTTCTTTCGTTGTACAATTAAGTAGATATTGCGTAGCATTGTATAAATTACGTCACATGATTAGAAAGAGAAAGAGAAAAAGAGAAAAAAAAAAAGAGAGAGAAAGAGAGAGATGCGCCTTAAAACCTTCTACCTAATAATCGATTTCTATAGATTGATATTATATATTTGTAATCATGCGTGACAACGAATTACAATTTATTATAATTGTCATAATCGTAAGATGCAATTTTTAGTATTAAAAAAAAGAAAAAATATGATTAAAAAAATACTACTACGTTCTAAGGTAATAACGAATCTCTCTTTCGCAAATTCATGCAATCTAAAACTAATATTATCGATATGACGTAACAAGAAGTGCATTGATAAAAATGCGCGCGAGAAATGCGATATATTTGAAATTGATATATAAAAAAAAAGGAAAAGATGAGATAATTCAACGTAGAGAAAAATTATAATCGACAGGAAAGGTGGAATTAGGTCAACATTATTTCGTATGAAATGTTTCTACAAATTTTCACGTATTCTATGTAGATACACTAGACACATATAAATACATTATGTATAAGGAAATAAATATCGAGTAGTGCAAGTTATAATTTAAAATTAACATTAAATAAATCTTTCATTATATTGTTATTAACAAAATTTCGTGTGTAGTATCGTATTTTATGTTTTTTTTTTTGTTTTTTTTATTGCAAATACAATCCATCCTATCATTTTATTCGATTTAAATAATTAGAATAATAATAATAAATTGTAATGAAAGAAAAGAAAAGAAAAAAGAAACAAAATCTTTGAATTTTATATTACCATTAAAAACTACAAAATGAACTTTAAAGCAGCAAAATGTAAAAGACAAGTAGTATAATGGATAAATATAGATATCGTATCATTTAAAAAAGAAAAGCCATTTTTGGGATTTAGATCGTATTCAGCGTTCAGTAACGTGCGAAAGATAAGATTGTTCTGTTAGTTCCAATTATACGTTTGTGAGAGCAAATAAAACTCGTGTAAATGATAGAAAGAAATATAAAGAGGGAGAGAGAGAAAACGAGAGAAAGATAGTTTTGTATTAAAAAGAGAACGACCAAACGTTAATATCGATAAGAATTTATCATCTGAAATATTTCAAGTGTGAAGGCTAAAACTGTCTATATATAAAGACAATGAATAAACATTATTTTTAATTAATATTTTGATTAATTATAATCTGAAATAAAAATGTTAACGATATATAATGACCACTCCAATTGAATTATTTGTGAAGCTGCAATCGACCAATCGCAGAAGAAGATGATAGTTGTACCATGACGACTATCGCCGAGGATAAAATGAGGAGAAAGCTTAAATTCTTTTTCATGAATCCAATTGAAAAATGGCAAGCCAAACGAAGATTCCCATACAAATTCATTGTGCAGGTCTTCAAAATCGTATTGGTCACCGTTCAATTGTGCCTATTTGCGCATAACAATTATATGCACGTTAATTATACATGGGACAACCGTATTACGTTTTCTCATCTCTTTCTACGTGGATGGGATGCCACGCTTGAGGTAAAAAATACTTTAATATAAATATTTGAAAATAATAATACAAAAATTGCTGACTATTAACGTTTGAAAAATAAAATATTACGGAATATAAAATGAAAAAAATTTAATTTAATAGTAATACAAACAACTACGTGAAATTTTTTTAAACGATTATCTCCAAAATTATACTTTTGAACGTTCTAACTGTTAAGACATTTCTCAACAATATTGAGTATTTTATTAATATTTATAGGTACCTGCTTATCCTCCAGCAACTGGCCCATTAGCTCTCTACAAAAAGGATGCATTTTTCAGTACCATTGATTATGCATTAGCCGGTTATTATAATCTTAGTAATTCCATTGGTTCTTATTCGTACAACGCCGAGAATAATATGCCAGGAACCGTGGAATTATGTTTGCATCAATATAAAGAAAGCATTATATTCGGCTTCAACGAAAGTTACGTCTTTGATAAGGAGATCTTAAAAACTTGTGTGAACATAACTAAAGAGTGTCATGACAAATTCAATAAGTCGAAAAATTTATTGTCTACGCAAAACGTAGATGTGAATTTCTCGGCTCTAGTAATGGCATATTTAAAATTTGCAGTTAAAACTGTTAATCTCAAAGCTGCCGGTCCGATGACACCACCAGATTGTTACCAGTTCGATATTAAAATCATTTTTGATAATCGCGATTTAGACGGACAAATGTTATTATCCTTGGATGCCGAGCCACAAAGATTATATTGCAAGGGTGACACCCGTTATATAATGGACAATCAAATCGAGTCCGCATTAAGAACATTATTAAATTTACTCGTCATATTTATATGTAGCGTATCACTTGCCCTATGCTCGAGAGCCATTTACAGAGCGCAATTGCTTAAACTCGAGACTATGAATTTCTTCAAAAAAACTTACGGAAAAGAGTTAAGTTTAGAAGGTAAAGTAGAATTTTGGAATCTTTGGTACATAATGATAATTATCAACGATCTCCTCATCATCATCGGTTCCTCCATAAAAGAACAAATCGAGAGAAAATATTTTGGTAGCGATCACTGGAACGTTTGTAGTATATTTTTAGGTACGGGTAATTTATTGGTATGGTTTGGCGTATTAAGATACCTCGGCTTTTTCAAAACATACAATGTTGTTATATTGACATTGAAAAAGGCTGCTCCCAAAGTAGCTAGGTTTTTAATATGCGCCATATTGATATACGCCGGTTTCACTTTTTGTGGCTGGTTAATATTAGGTCCGTATCATATGAAATTTCGATCGCTCGCAACTACTTCCGAATGTTTGTTTGCGCTTATCAACGGTGACGACATGTTCGCAACATTTACCATAACGTCGTTCAAATCCCCGATGCTGTGGTGGTACTCGAGAATTTATTTATACACCTTCATTTCTTTGTACATTTACGTCGTATTAAGTTTATTTATTTCTGTGATAATGGACGCCTATGATACGATTAAAATTTATTATCGAGATGGCTTCCCCAAAAACGATGTGCAAACTTTTATATCCGCTTGCACGGATGAAGCATCAAGCGGCCTCTTCAGAGACGGATGCGATAAAGGTGATATTACGGAGCTTATTGATAGGTTTTGTTGTTGTCGGAAAAGACCCTCTTATGGTTCTTTCTCGGGATCGAACACAGATTTTTCTATTAAAACTGAACAAACCTGTGGAGAAAGAGGAGGAACAGGAGCCATCTGTGTATAGTTCGTTAAGGGATTATTTTCCAAGCACAAATTATGGTTCCACTGTTACGTGAATGATTATAATTAAGGTTTAGAAAAAATTCTTTTTTTTAATAATATTATTATCTTAGGTAATTAAATTTCGTTTAGATACAAAAAAAAAATTTGTAACCTTTTGTGCATTTATCGTCAATGCTATATTATCAAAGTTTTATTCAATGGTGCTAATATTACATATGTATTATTATGATTCCACAGTAGAGTAATAGAAAATATTAGAACGTTTTACTTTTAATAAATTATATTTTTTTTTCTCTTTTTTTATTTTTTTCCGTTGTTTTATTTTTCTTCTTTTAACTGACCATTTGAATAATTCATGAAATATGTGTTTAAATAACAAGAAAATAGATAAAAGGATTTTATCTCGTAGACAATGTAGCTGCATAGTTAGAAAGATTATTCTCTTTCGCAAAAAACTATACCATATTTTTATGACGACAATGGTGACGATGTTTAAAATAGAAAAAGAAACGTTTTAACTATGATATTGTATTTTTTTTTATTGCTGTGACTAACTGCCACAATAATTTGCAATTGAAGCCGTTCATAAATATTATGTTTAGTTTAAACAATGAGATTATTAATTCAAATAATATAATTTTTATTACTTGAATTTATTTACCATCAATTTTTCGATCGAATAGGATCGTTCAAAGTATTAGAATCAATGACAATAATAATAATAATAATAATAATAATAATAATAATAATAATAATATATTAATTAAAAATGAAAGAATAAACTATCTTATTTTAAGAAAATATTCGATTTACGAACACGTTGAATGCATGAAACAAATTAATACGATTTAAAAAAAGCAAAATAAGGCAGCTTTATCTTATATTTTACATTGCATTAAATAATTTGTTAAAATTAATCCTGATTTTTCATTGCTTTCAAATTGCCGAATTTTAATCTTCGTACTATAGATATAAATCAAATTTGAAATAGAAATAATTGAATAATAGTGTATTAATGTTATTATTAATAATAACAAACAAACTCTTTAACGTTACATAAATTTAACAAAAAAAAAAACAATATTAGAATAAAGTAGCTCAAATGGATATAAATGAAAAGAATTATTATTATTATTATACGTGCAATTAATTATCCATATATGAAAGTATTCAAGCTGCATATTTCATAAAGATGCAGCGACTAGATGATTTATACATATAAAAAATTGTATATTACAATTCAAACCGAAACATAACAATCCAAAGAAATATATTTATATATTTACATTGAAATAAAATATATTCAATTTCTTTTTATGACTTATTTTAACACGCCCGTATTTATTTATACAAATTATACTCTTCAAATTATATATTAATTTCTTTATAAATGCAAAATTTGTTTAAATAGATCAAAATAATCAAAAATATATTCGAAAACATTAAATTAAATTACTATAAAAATAAAAGGACAAGTATTTTATACGCACACAAAATAAAAAATATATTAATCATAATTTTTTATAAAACATTGACTGCAAGTCCAAAATATTTTTTAATAATAAAACTTGTATGATATTTCTAAACAACTGTTTAGAAATTTAATATAATGTAATTACTTTTATAATTAATTTTACATAATATATATTCTAAGTTTTTTTTCAATTAAATTTTACATTTGCAAACCTATAATATGGTATGATATTTACAAATTTCAAATATAATTACACATATCATTGTAATGGCGCCACTATAGAGCGAAATGTTTTAACATTTTACCGACCGTGCTTTAAAATTGCTGGCTGCTTTTCCATCATATATTATAGTAAATTTAGGTAACAAAATTCCTCTTACAGTTATTCTAATGATTTCCATGTATTACCATCATGTTCATTTTATTTATTTTCCATAGTAAATTAACTTTTACTAGATTCATTGTAATGAATTAGGTACGATTATTACTACGCCATAAAAGAAAGAAAGAGTTTAATCGATGACCAGTGGTCATTGACCACAATCCAAAATAATCGAGTGTTTACTGTTTACATGAAAGGCTAATCAAATTTGACGTTTAACACAAATACAACTGCCAAAACAAACCACGTCCGTATTGAAGGGTTTGTAGTAATATGATAGTATTAATTTTTACGATGTTCATTCATTGAACAGAATTAAATTTGTATTTTATAACGAAAAAAAAGAAAAGAAAACAAAAAGTGTTCATTTACATCAATAGATAAAAAAAAATTTTATTCAAGAGAACAATCGACGAATAGAATTTGTTGATTAAAAATGTCGAAAATTTTTGCATCGATGATGAATAAGAACGAAACAGAAACGGAGTTTTCGTTTGTAGACAAGGAACCTTCTCCGAGTGAGCATAGTTTTTCGAATATTGTTGGAATAGTATCTAAACATGCAGAATCTAGTTTACGTATAATGGAGGAATATTTGGACAAACAACAATTAACAGATGTAGTATTAATCGCAGGTATAGCATTTTCTTTTGTTAGATTGTTTCTTTTATTTTTTTATCAAATGATTAATTTTCATTGAGTTTAATTGTACAGGCAATAAGCGTATTCCGGCACACCGTTTGGTACTCAGTGCAGGCTCTGAATATTTTGCTGCTATGTTTACTGGTTTCCTAAAAGAATCCAAGGAAAATGAAATTGAATTAGTCGACGTCGATGGAGATGCTTTATCTTCGTTGGTTCGTTATTGTTACACCGGTAGGATTACATATAATTTCATATATATTTTTATTATTGCCTCTCATTCTAACTCGTTTTGTTCTTTTTATTTTAGGATGCATAGAACTTAAAGAAGACAGCGTACAAACTCTCTTAGCAACAGCGCATTTGTTGCAACTCCATCCAGTTGTCAAAGCATGTTGTAAATTTTTAAGAAAACAACTCCATCCGAGTAATTGTTTAGGGATACGCATGTTCGCGGATATGCACGGTTGTTTGGATTTACTTAAACAGGCGCATGCATACACAACGGAATATTTCATGGAAGTTATCAAAAATCAAGAATTTTTACTATGTTCTGCTGATCAAGTAGCTGAATTATTAGAATCCAATGATCTCAATGTTCCTTCTGAAGACACTATATTTCACGTAAGATAGTAGTATCATTATATTATTTGTGGTTTACTGTTTATATTTTAACATCGTGTTTCAGGCTCTTACGGCTTGGCTTAAATATGACTTACCTAATAGAAAAAAATATGCCAGTAGATTGTTGAGTTTAGTTAAATTGCCTTTATTATCGCCAGCAGTAAGTTAAAACTTATTCCCTGTTGCAAATATATATTTTCAAAATAAGAATTAACTTATTACTGATGAAATAATAGTTTATAGCAGATCATATAGAAAGTAACGAAATCTTTAAAGATCAAAAATCTGCTCAAGAACTTATAATAGAAGCGTTAAAGTATCATCTTCTACCTGAACGTAGACCACTACTGCAATCTAATCGTACAAAACCTAGAAAAGCAACTGTTGGTGAGTTATTAGCGGTCGGAGGAATGGATGCCAGCGAAGGTAACAATAAAAAATTATTTACAAATAACTCAGAGAAACTTTAAATATTTTTTTACCATAGGACCAACATTGTTGATATACTCGTTTTCATTGCGAAAAAATTCATGGAAGTCTGTAGCCACAATGTGGGGTAAACGTCTCCAATTTGGTGCTGCTGTTGTTGATAGGAAATTAATTATCGCCGGCGGTAGAGATGGTTTGAAAACTTTAAACACTGTTGAATGTCTTGATTTTTCTGCTCATGTTTGGTCTACTTTACCACCTATGAATGTTCATAGACATGGATTAGGTATAATTAATTACACTATAGATATGTAAAGGTGTATTATCGACAAATCATCTGTAATAACATGCTATGATGTAGGAGTTGCAGTCTTAGGTGGACCATTGTATGCGGTTGGTGGTCATGATGGTTGGAGTTTTCTTGATACAGTTGAAAGATGGGATCCAAATACAAAACTATGGCGTCCTATAGCACCTATGTCTATACAACGTTCTACAGTTGGTGTAGCCGCATTAAATGACAAGTAGCGTTAAATTAATAGAATTGCATTATTATAGAAAACATATGATCTTTATAATAGATATAAACATCAATATGTTTTGATTACCACATTATTTTTATTTTTATTTATTTTTGTTTTTGTTTTTTTTTTTAGATTATACGCTGTAGGTGGTAGGGATATTAGTTCCTGTTTAAATACAGTCGAGTGTTATGATCCTCATACGAACAAATGGACCGCTTGTGCTCCAATGTCAAAACAAAGAGGTGGTGTAGGAGTAGGTGTAGTGAATGGATGTCTTTATGCTCTCGGTGGCCATGAGGCACCAGCGAGCAATCCCAATGCTAGTAGATTTGATTGTGTAGAAAGGTAGCAGAATATGTACATGTAGTTTGATAATCTTTCACAACGTGATATACACATAATTTTCTTAAATAAAAAATACATTATTCCACAGATATGATCCCAAAACTGACACATGGACAATGGTAGCACCAATGAGCGTAGCAAGAGATGCGGTTGGTGTTTGCGTCCTTGGAGATAAACTTATGGCTGTAGGTGGATATGATGGTCAACAATACTTGACACTGGTTGAAGCATATGACCCACATCTTAATAAATGGGAACCAGTAAGTGTGCATTTAAAATATTTGTCAGTTTGTAAATGATTACAGTGAATGATTGATAATCTGATGTTATGCCATAAGGTTACACCTTTGCTGACTGGACGTGGAGGTCCTTGCGTTGTTATAGAAAATTCCCTAAGTGATGTATAATTAATGGTCATAAATGCTTACACAAATTCTTGACTACGAACAAGTAACATTCCTATAATAATTCTAAAAAACTACCATATATTAGAATCTATTTTATCATCTATAAAGTATTCAGTAATTTAATACATTTAATATATCCCATAATATTTAAGAGAATAAGAAACATATTATTATTAAACTATATATGTAAGTAAATATTGTGATAAATTTTTTCTATTATTTTATTTTACGATAACTTATAAAAATATTTAGATAAATTTTAAAATATAACAAACAATTCAAAGTTTATTTTATATCTGAATAAGAAAATTCTATATAAAATGAAATATATATTTAAAATAATTTTCAATTTATATTTTATATACAAAGACAATTCACAGAATTAATTACAAAGAATTAATTATAAATAACTCTCTTATAAATAGAGTTAATGAATCAATCTTTCTAAATATTAACATATTTGTCAATAGTATTTAATATTAATGTATATACAGAGGATGTTGACGAACATAATCCATTCAAAAATGATGTTCGTTAATCTATCACCCACTGTACAGTTCTACAAATCTTACACACAGTGTCACTTCTTTTATTTATTCTATGAGGCGTTCATTATTGGAACATGTGTTTGTTGGCCGATATAGAAATATTTCGCGAAAGTATTCGTTGTTCAATTAGTTTGCAGTCCAAACTATTCATTAACCGATCACCTATTGTACTATAAAATATATATAGGCTATAAATATAAATATATATATATAAGAAACAAATTTATATTTCCGCCAATGATGTAATACGTTTATTTACACTCTCTTTCTTTTTTTTCTCTTTTATTTTTATGAACATATTCTTTCAATAAATTAGCTGTCCAATGGCTATAAATTAATTCATTCAATGCTTTCCAAATTATATTATTTTTATTAATTTATATCTAATTTAATATATTTATTCATTATTAATTAATTTAGCAAGCAGGGAAAGTTCTGAAAATAATAAATAAAAATTATATATGAGATTAATATTAAGAAAATTAATGGTATCAATTGAATTTGTTATATTATACAAGAAAAACATCTACCGTGGAAAGTCTGAAGCAGGTTCTGCAAATTTGTGTCTAACCATAAATGTTGCAATAGCTTCTGCTACTTTGTCCGGTACATCTTCATGAACAGCGTGTCCACATGCTGGTAAAACTTGCATTTGAAACTTTCCTAATTATGATAAAGCATTAATATATATTAATTAAAAATATTTAGTTAAATATTAATGTAATTAGATGTTAATTAATACCTTGCATTTGACCAACTGTAAGTTCTCTATCAAGTCTATCTACTCCCGCTAATAATAATACTTTAGGGATTGGAATATTTAAAAACGACGCCGATAATCCTTTAAACCATCCAAACCAGTGTTGTTCAGTTTTGGCTAAATCTATTCTCCACACATACTTCTTATTAGTATGTACGAAAGAAGATGTAGGTGGTGGCATAGTAATAGAATCTTCCTCTTCAATAACATCTTCGCGGTGAATCACTGGTTCAGGATCACATTCGCATGAAGATGTTTGTGAAAGGGAATTAATATCGTGAGTCGCTAACTGATTGGTTTCAATACTAAAAAAATAAAACAATTAAATAAATACATTACTCTTTAAAGTCGTAGCATAACTTTTTACAAGTATGTGATCATAAATGTACAAGAATTTTAAGAAACTCACTAACTTCTTTATTTGTCCAGGTACTGAAACTTTAGCCGACTGTACATTTCGAATTTGTCCACTTCGTACACTAAAAGATAATGTTAAAAGTAAATATGCATATTGAATGAAAATACACAAAACGGATCTTGTTAAGTATAAAAATTAGAGAGTTTATGTGCGTACCACCATTCTATAGCTTGAGGAATAGTACTAAAACTAGATGGCCGAGATCTTAAGAAACTTTGCATAGATGCTAAAGCATCCATAGCTGTCCCTTCGACAACATCAATCACTCCCAAACCAGCTAAATTGGCTAATAATGATGCAGCTTTAACAGCCACCGCACCTCCCATGCTATGACCGACTATAATTACTGGTCCTTCTTCTATAGTCACTTCTATAACTGCTGCTACATCCCTAAAAAAAAATTAAATAAATAAATGAAATAAAATAAGTGACTATGCTAATATTATAATATTTACTAAGTTTACATATAAGATAATAGATTTCAAATATTCAACATACAAAGCTAAAGTATCTGCGGACAAATCTTCTTCATTAGTTGTATGCGTATCTCCGTGACCTCTAAGATCAATCGCCATAACTTTACAGATTACCATCGTCATAATAGATTTCTAAAATATATAAAATAGCAAATTGTGCTACATTTCATAAATTGAATCATAAATACTTACTGTAAATTCTGCCCACGTTAAAGCACTATAACCACCACCATGTAATAAAACCAACGTTGGTCCTTGTGTTCCTTTAGTATAAATATGAAAAGTATTTTCTCCTATTTTGATATCAGTGGAATGATCAAAGTATGGAGTCCATTGTACAGGATCATAATCTCTTTTGCGTTGAAAACCTTTAGTCTTATTTATCCTAAAATAAATATAAAACACAAAAAAAAAAAACAAAAAATAAAAACTGACATTTTCAAGGTAATGCATTGAAGACAAAAAATAATATGTTGATTATTGAGACTAACCTAGATCCATGACCAAAATTGATACCCGCCGGCGGCAATTTAGATTTTAATACTGATTTTTGAAGGGAAGACATACTGATAGCTCTTTAAATACGTTTCACAGTAAATATTATTAACTTGCAACTAGTTATTAATCTAGTCTGATAAGCAAATCAACAATTTGTTTTGATCTAAGAAAACCACGTTTGTAATATTCCTAGATGTCCATATCGACGAGTAATTGTAAGTTAGTCCACCGACATTGTTAGACGAGTTAATCGTATAATGCAATTTTATATCCGCCATTATTACCCGGTAAATTTAAATGTACATATAGATATAGGATATTTTAGATTTATAATAATTTGTTTATATTGATGCAACCAAATTACTTCACCTTGCATGAGTTATTAATTATGAATGTGTTTTATTAATCAATAATAATTCATTACTATGATAGAAAAGCGTCATAAATAAAGATCGTCATTTTTATCGTTTCATTTAATATATCGATCAACATCACTACCGAAAAGTTGGCATGGGACCTCAACAGCAGAAAAAAATGAATAAATACTCTTAACTGCACATTAATTGCATATTTATAATCTATAATTGCACACTTTATTAGTTAGTTATTATGAATTGAAAATAAAAAAACGTTTTGTCCTATTTCTAAGCAAAGCAGTAAAGCGAGCAATTATGGATTTTAAATAAGCAATTAGTGATCAATTAAGAGCAATTATTCATTTTTTTCTGCGGTGAAGGTTTTTCTACTATCGGTAATTCTGATGGTAAGTTACCATCAGATCTTTTTGGTCGGTAAGACTGGCGATAAGATAAAAGTAGAACACTACTATTACCGATATGATGCTTAGCAATGTTACTAGAATTTCAATAAATTTTAACTTGTTTATTTCCTAGTAACTTTTAATAGCAAGTAGTGTACACAAAATGAATGTGTAATTAAATTCTATATACATTCAAAAACATTTATATATACATTTATTTTGCACTATCGCTAATTCAGTTTTCTACAATATGCTGTGTTATTGACAGTGAATATTAATCCTTTTACTGCAAAATGCATTAATTGTGTGGTACTACTGTCGCATCGGGTGCATATAAGCGCCACTACATTAAAAGACTAACTTCCGACGGAAATATATAACGAGACAGCTAGCAGTAATGGAATAAATAGTTTAGTGTTGCTAAAAATCAATGTTTTCGTTCATTTCTATTAGATTAGATGGATCGTTTATAAATAAATCTTCTTAAAATGAATACAACTAACAGAAAGTTGCCAAACATTTTGGTGTCAGGTAATCGTTATTAATTTATTATATGTATTTCAATGATTATTTATTTTTTATTCAAAGTTTAGTTCAGAAATACTTGTTTACATTACCCTAATTATTTAATTATTATTATTAAAAATATTTAATAACTTTGTTATTCTTTTTTTAGGTACACCAGGTGTTGGTAAAAGTTTAATGTGCCGTTTATTATCAGAAAGAACAGGATTAGATTGGTTAGAAGTTAGTAAATTAGCTATTGAACATAATTGTTTAGAAGAATACGATGAAGTATATCAATGTCCAATCTTGGACGAAGATAAGGTTTATTTTCATAATTTATTTAATCTTCCTCTGTACACAATAATATAACTTATATTAATTATATTAATATAATATATAATTAATTATATTAATATAATATATAATTAATTATATGATATATTATTTATGTTTGTTTACAGTTACTCGATAATATGGAAAGCGTTATGAGCGAAGGTGGAAAAATCGTTGATTATCACGGTGTTGATTTCTTTCCAGAAAGATGGTTCGATATAGTCTTCGTTTTAAGAACCAATAATACAATTTTATATGATCGGTTATTTGAACGAGGATACAGAGGGAAAAAATTAACAGACAACATAGATAGTGAAATATTTCAAATAATTACAGAAGAAGCTAGAGCATCGTATAGGGATGCAATAGTTCATGAATTACAAAGCAATACAATGGATGAGGCTATGGATAATGTTAATAAAATATGCCAATGGATTGAACAATGGACAATAGACAATCAATAGTTGTTAAATAAAATTTATATTTTAGAATTTAACACATGATTTCTACTTATTTATCGACACTGTATATATATTATTTAAGAAATATAAGTAACAGTGATCACAGATAATTCAACTAAATGAATTTGATTAGTTCTATCATTTACAAATTAAACTATTTGTACATCGCAATTTCTATATATACATACATCGTAAATTACATGTTCGACATGTAAATTTAATTAATTTAATCTACAATACCTAAATCTTGTTTAAGCGTTTTTAATTTATTTTCGATATTCGCATAATACTTCATTTTGACCAATACTTCTTTTGCTTGTTCCAGGTTGTTATTACGAAAAGAATCAGCTACTTTCCTAAATAAACATATTTTATTAATTTCATATAAAGTATCATTATATATTGATAATATTAAGATAAATAATTATTACTTAGATAGTTTGTGCAGTATGATTTTGTTTTCTTGCATCAATCGAACAACTTTTTCCTTATCGTTCAAAGCTGATTCTATTTCCTCATTCCTTTCCATTATTTCCATCAAAAATTCGGGATTTATGCTAGTGGTTTCTTCAGGAATAGATATACCTTTTAATTGTAGCATATACAAACCTCTTTTTAATGGATTTGTTAACGTACTGTAAGCTTTGTTTAGTAAAGAGGATAACGACTCTGAAATGCGCTGTTCTCTCTAACAACACATAAAACAAATTTAATAGATTCATTTTTATTAAATACCATTATCATTGTCAAGAATAAATTAATAATATAAAAATAAAAACATTTACCTCCATTCTGTTACCAAACCTATCAGGATGCAACATTTTTTGCAATTGTGTGTACTTTTCATGAACTTCATCATTATTAACATTGTAGTCGAGTTTCACACCAAGAATATCAAAATAATTCAAATTTTCGGGCATTTCTTGAAGAGTCTTGCATTGTGAACAAAATAATTCAGATTTGTATAGGAAATTACAGTTCCAACATTTAGAAGGACTATCACTAGAATATTGCAAAGTACTTAATGAAATTGTTGGATTATTTGTAACTTTGTGTGTAGAATAAAAATACAATTTTCGTCTTTCTTTTAATAAATGAGAAAAGACAGAATTTTTATTAACAATTGGACGAACAACTTTCGACATAAACATTTTAATATTATAAATTTCTAACCTAAGCGTGTCAACATCTGAACGAATACTAAAGTATTAATGATCGATGAAATGTAACATGAACAAAAGATTGCATGATTCAAGAGTATTCCTAGTTTAACCTTTAAGTTTAAAGTATAAATTTAAAGTTTTCTTGATTATTTTATAGATTAAAATTCTTTCTTTTTTCAGTAAAATTAATATATGACGCAATCAAATGAATATATAAAAGACAAAAATATAATAAATTATTAGTTAAAATTAATTCATTTTTTTAATTTAAGATATTAATGATATCAGCTTCGATAAATCTTATTTTATTTATTCAACAATCATATGTTAAGAATGCAAACAAAATTAATTTTTTTTATCTATAGTCTCTGTCGGTAAGGAAGTTCACTATTGTATATTGGTTTATCTTTTTTATTAATAAATTATATTTTTTATTTATTATTATTTATTTTTGTTTATAAGAGGCAAATAAATAATTAAAATTCAATTCATTTTAATTAATTAAAAATATAGATTACAAGAGAATTATATTCTGAATTATTTACTGACAGTTTAGACTTCTAGTGTTTTTTATAGTTCATGGTGTTAACAGTTGAAATAGTGTTATTATCACGAAGCCTAGATAGAAGGGGAACGAACGCAGTGTTATAAATGTATCTACGTATATGCAGCATGAAAGGATGATTTCTACTGCCACTAGAGAACGCGTCAATTCGATGGGTCAGATTTTTCAAATATATATAGTTATATCCACGAAGCTAAGACTTCATGGTTGTACCCACATAGAGTTTCGCACGAAAATCTGAACTCCCAAACACCAGCGCTACCCTCATGGAGAATTATCGTACCCGATGTTTCCTCATTTTCAACAACACAAATTCAACGACAATGCGTATCGCGTTCGTTCTCCTTCTATCTAGGTTACATGGTTATTAAAGTGAGAGTAGTTTTTTAAAAATAAATAAACATATAAATAAATAATATTTAAACATGCCAACTTACGAGATGCCTTTACTTATTCGCATAATGAATAAGGTAACATATTTTAGTTCATCACTTAATATTTACTTTTATATAAGATGAAAGTAGAATTACAGGTTAAAATATTTGTGTTTAAATTTCAAAGACTTTTGAAACAGTCTTACATTTAAAAATTCATACATTTATTTATTAATTATTTAGGTTTTACTTTAAATTCAATATTGAATAAAAATAACATTTATTAATAAATTAAAATAATTTGCAGCCGGAGACATTCAACGCTTTGAAGAGAGTAGCAACGGCAATCTTTGACAGAGGTGGAATTATCAGAAAAATAGAAAATTTAGGTGTTAAAGAATTACCATGCAAACTCTCTTTTAGAGGAAGCACATATAGAGAAGCGACGTAAGTTTTATAAGATGTCAAAATACATTATATCTACATTGCTTTTCTTAACCATTACAAATAATTATATATAATAATTACATGACTTTCTTTTTAGTCATTTCTTGTATTATTTTGACGTACCTCCATCAACGTTAACAAATCTTATCGATGAATATAATCGAGATATTGATATTCTTAGAAATAAAGTTTACAAACAAGAAACCCCAAAGCCAATTGAATGTACATTGCACGAAGAATTATTACCTCCTATTTACAGGTAAATATTTCATTATCTTTCTCATTTTAAGTCAAAAAGTAATTTAACCCTTTGTATTATAATTTAACATGCGGAACCGCGTGTCAAAGTCACTGTAATATTTTATGCTTCTTGTATTTGGCTTGTAAAATTCACTACGAGTAAGATTCGTGTTTGGGCTATAAAACGTATCACGAATCTCGCACGTTGTTATAGTGCTAGGGTTTATTAAAGCCAAAAGGCAAAAATAAATCATTTACAATTATTTCATTATCTTCCTCAAATAAAATGTATACACACAGCGTTTAGGCGTATGTATGTATGCGGGTTTATATTATTTAATACTGTAAATATTAATTTGATATTTTAGGAAAGAGGTACAAAAATTAATGGAGATTGGTGCTAAACAGAAAAAGAAACACCAGGAAAAACAATTTAGCCGTAAATTGAAGTATTATCCTTCCAAATCAAATCAGCTTTAATAATATTTTTATCTATCTATAGATATTGTCGTAAAATATTAAATATATATATAATACTATATGTATATAATACTAATGTATATAGTTTAACAATATATAAAATAATTCTCTTTGTTTGGTCAACGGCCTCGCCTCGTTGAAAAAACTAATTCCCTTATCAGTAAAATTGAGCAACGATGCTGGTAATTGAATGACTCCAAGGAGGTATCAAAGAACAAATTTGTAAAAAATGGACTATATATAATAAATTAATGAAGACTATAGACTCTCTACGTTTGAGAAGATCAAATTATTGAATTATAGTTAAATCAGACTATGAGAAACTAAAAAATATCTATAAATTCAATGCAAGAAAAAAATATCAATTATGTTTATTTATTATTTATTTTGTTGATACTTTAGTTACATCATGAAAAAATTTTCTTTTTTTTTTTTATAATCATCAAAAATATTTGTACAAAATACTTAATATAATTATATATCATATATCATTATATATGTATATATATAATGATTATTATAATCATCAATATCTCACGTGGAAAACATGAACTTTTTAATATAATATGATTACGCTTTAACACGTACGAGTTTTGAACGTAACATTAACAGAGTAACGTTGCAATAATGGTCCTGTATTATAATATACTTCTAATACATAACAATTATTTATTTCTCTACACTGCCCAATATAAGAAATTTGTTAATGCCTTTGTTCTCGGTTTTTTCATATATATATATAATATATTCTATATTTGTGTTTAGTCAAGAGAGCTATATATATTTATATATACTTGTGCAGTAATTGTTAATTGTTTAAAACATTTGATTGTTTTGTTTCATTTCGTTTCGTTTTTGTATTATATTATGTTGTATTATTAAACAGGACAGGCAGATTAGAATTTACAACATACCGATTATTATTTCGGTATTCAACGCACGCGTAATTGAGTCCATTTGTTTTCTTTCTCTTTTTTTTCTCTTTGCTTATTCCTATTTTTATATGCATAAATATATTTTAAATATATATAAATCTTATGCATAGATCGAATTTGGCCCGCTTAAGAAGAAAGTAATGCGATAGAGTACGTCTATAGCTTGAGTACTTATGGAAGTAAAAATAAAATAATATAATATAAAATAAAATTATAGTGCGTTTTTTTTTCTCACACACATGGAAGAATTTGTTCCATGCTCTATAATCTACGGTTTACATATGTCTGGTATTTCCGAAATTAATACCACTTTGATTGGCACCTTTGTTGCTACCATATTGTAGACTTATAACACCTTGACCAGCTCTAAGTTGTTCCTCGGTAAAATTACGGACATTCTTGTCCGCTTCTTTTGGTCCGATACTTGGCTTGCCATAATTACCCGCCTAAAAAGATTTTAAAAATATCATTTATAAAATATATTTTTAATTACATAAATATTTAATTATATTTATATTATAATTTAATTATAATATATTTAAAAAATATATATTTACCTTTCTTCCGAGAGATTGTAAGCAAATGACAACTGAGTTAAGATTTTGTCGTTCCCAAAGATCAACAGTTTGGAAGGTTTCCTGTGGTGGGACACCTAATGCTCGTGCAGCTTCAAGAAATGCATTTATATTTTCCATACACTTGAAAGCCAAAGACGTTTTATTGATCTTCTTAACGGATCCTTCCTTGATGTCATTCACCAACCTGGAAAGATATATACGAAAAGATGAAAAGGATTATTAAACTGCTGCTGCTGCTACTGGTGCAGCAGTAAAGCTAAGAGTTAAGGTTTATTTGAAAAATATTATTCTGTTATCGAATTTAAACGAACCTGCAGAGAAGTACACCATCTTTCAAAGTCTCATAGAAACTATCCATATCACCATTGGTGTTTATGTCCTCGCCAGTGATCGTTTTGATCCATTCCAAAGACTCTTGAGCCAGTTCTTCACTGTATTTGCTATTGATCTGTTAAAAAAAAAAAATAAAATAAAATAAGAAAGAAATAAAATTTTTAGAAATTGTTCTCATTTTATTTGTTAACAAGATAGAAGGGATTTTTTTTTGTTCGTTCAAATCAAGCAGTGATTTCTTTTTTACATCTCCTTTCTACGTCAAGTTATTAATTATACGAGGTTCCAGTGTTCTAAGTAACGCATCCTGTAGGGTTCTGCGACACGAGCGTTACTGTTGGAGTCACTGACCTAACTCGTTTGAACACCACAGTTCGTTGTTCCTCCGCTGTGTATGATAGTACGTATGGATCATCTCCATAAGCATATGCAACGCATAACGTTCGAAGAGAAGATTTATTCCAGCCAATTCACGTCCGGAGATCTCATTACGTTTTTTTTTAACGATACTACGTATCTAAGTACCTAAACGTTACTTCTCCATTCAAATTAGCATATAATATTTAACTGGAAGCACACCTTCAATCAGCTTCATACGTTCGATATGAAGAAATTCAACAAAATCGATATAACGATTGCATCTAAATATCGAAAATGTTTTTAACAAAACATAAATATAAAATAAGAAGAAAAATTAATTAAAAACATTTATAATAAATCATAGAAAAACAAAGATATCTGAATAATAATCTTAATGGATATTCATGAATGAAGAAATAAGTGTTATTAGCGTTTATCAATCTGACGAATAAACAGAGTTATAGAAGGAACTCTTAAAATTCTGAAAATAGAGAGGATGCAACGAAAAAGGAAAGAATCGATGCCTCGACGATTGAAACCTCGATGGAAGTTCGATCGTTTACCCAAAAAGGAAAGGCATCCAATGTGTTGGACCGACACCCCGCATTCATCTCTCCACGATGTATGCATATATTCCGTTAGACATACGGTCTTTCTCTTTCTCTCTCTCTCTCTCTCTCTCTCTCTCTCTCTCTCTCTTTCTTTTTCTGTCTATTCGTATGCAATTTATGTATCCCCGATGCAGTTCACGCGTCTCAAACTGGTCACAGCAAATCCCGATCCACACACGACTCGTTAGAACAACATACCTACCATTCCACATACCCATCTGCTGTTCCTCTTTCTCCTCCTTTTTCTCCTTTTACTCTTGTAAAAATGTTTTCGCATTCGGTCAGCTTTTAAACCAAAAATGAAGGAAAGACATTTTTTTTCTCTTTTACCGTATGTAACTCGTAAAACTTTACTTTTGAGCTTTTATTTTATCCCTCTGAGAAAGCCTTGACTTCGTTCCGCTAAAGAAAGAGAAAAAGAGAGAGAGAAATCCTCTTGCAAAGTAAACACGATTACTTGACCTTCCTTGTGTATAATTGATCATTTCTTTTATTATTATTATTTTTCTTTTTTTCTTTTTCTTTTGTATTATTTGCAAGCAGGAAGATACACGAAGACTTCACTTTATTTTTTGTATCATTTATGTGTTATGGTTAATATTATTTCATTTATTGTTAGATTATACAAGTTTCAAATGTGTAATACAAATTAGTCTCTATGTAAAGACCTATTTTTTTTCTGACATAAGTAAGACGAAGACGATTCATTATTCTATTTTTTGTACTATACACGTATATACTGTGTGTATATTTTTAAATTATCTTAAATTTATATTTCATAGAATTAATAATTATAAAATTAATAAATAATTGTGTATGTATATATATGAAATAAATTTAGAAACTTTGCAAAGAAAATATTTATACTTCTGTTCAGAAAAAATTTTATATGTATACAAACAAATCTGTTTTATATTTATATACAAGTACACGTACACGTGTCACAAAAGAATGTGAACAACAGATAAAAAGAATTAATGTGTTATTATTGTATCATTTAAGGTCACGTTACAACAGAAAGGAAAAAAGGGAGAGATTTGGTTTAGGGACAACAATATTTTTTTTTTTCGTTGATTTCTGTCTGGAGGAAGGAGCAATACCAGAACATAAATCTTTTATACGAAGCATTTTCATCCTCCACTTTTATTCACTTTTACCTGGGATGTTGTTCTGAACTCAGAAGAAGAAGAAGAAGGAAAAAGGGATAAAATAAAAATGAACATTTTATGTTCGAACAAGGTTCTTCGTGGAAAATTATTAGTCATAAGTGTCCAACGAAACGATTTATCCTCGAAAAGGTAATATGCCTAAGCTCAGGAAGTCGAGTTGCTTTTATTGTACTTTAATAAAAACAAATTCGCGCGTAGAAAATCTAACGTTAAAAATTGACCGTTCATAAAAAAAATTCGTCGTTTTAAATTGAATGTATATAATATATTTTAAGTATAAACATTAATTGTTAAATATTTTATACATATAACGAAACCATAATAATGGAAACTAAACAATCAACAGATTCATTCTTCGAGCTTCATTTTGCTCCCTTTTTTCGAACATGTTATCTTATTAGAGATAGTACCAGTAGTTGTCATAATGTAGAACACGATCGTGTCTATATTTAGGTATTAAGTAAGTTTACGATAATTTTATTAACGTGAAAAAAAGAGACAGTTTATTGACAAGTACTGATGACAAAATATGTCATAGATTTTTCTTAGAAAACGATTAGTATTGATAATAATAACAATTCCCGTGTTTATTAATCCGATTTGGAAAATTATTGTTCAACGATCGACTCATGTATCTTTTTTCCAATCATTTCATTTTTTTCCCCCCGTTTTGTAGGATACAAATATTTTTCAAAGAATGGCAACGATAAGAGTTTCGACGAATGTGTCCCCGTTTATACGCATGATGTCATTGGATAAAGGTTTATCTAATCGATAAATTTGTACGCTTATATTATGAGTTGAAAGAAGTAGAAACAAAACTACCGTAGGAATTTCGTCAGAAAACTTGTTTTAAACCGTTATAAACGTTGATATTGACGATGTGTTAGAGAAGTATGTTACTTTTAGGTACGTAGGTGTAATACCTAATAAATCGATTAGTTAAACGTGACGATTTAAATAAACAAGGAAGTATTCGAATTTTCTTCGACATATATATTTTCCTTTCTTTTTGGTACCTAATGTAGCTAACACAAAGAAAAGGTAGGCTCAGGTATACATATCTTAAACTTTTTATACACGAGTGCATAATACGCGTATAGTGAAACCTTTGAAACGAGAGGAGAATTGGGTACAAGAAAAAAGAAAAAGAAAGAATAAAAAAGAAGAATTTAGAGAAGATGGAGAAGAAGATTAGTTTAGGAACGGGAACTGAAAGGAATTTAAAAGATTTTTACAATTTTCTTACTCTCGTAAATAAATTTACGAGAAAATGATAAATTACCTTTCCTTACTGTATGCGTGCATATATATTTATATGTTAGT